GCACTAATCTCGTCAAAAACTTACATGTTAAGACTTAAATAAATTCACTTTGACTGTAGTTTTCTTTTTCTCTCATTTTGCAAATAAAAAATTTTCAAACATTTATTTTTTTCGTAAACGAACTAAAAGGATATCTTTATTTTGCAATGCGTTTCAAATTGTGTTTTTTCTTCGTCTTACTCAAAGTCAAAGCTGGTCTAATCGCGAAAAATATTGACCGCTGTGAGCGGGCATTACAGGAAAATACCGACCGGTCATTATCTGTCAACAGCCAATCAGAGCGCGCGTACTATCTAAGCCATATAATAAACCGAAATATTGTTGAACAACGTCTCGTTTATAATCCAAATTTTGGATTTTACGATGTTATCCTTCCTCGGACTCGTTTTTGTCATTCTATATGTCAAACTGTCAGATCGTAATGGATTTTACTACACGCACTGTCGATCCATTACCATCCGTATCCGTGGGCACTACATTTGCATCGAACCCCGTTGAGAAAATAGAGGCCCTCCCTTGTAATACAAAGAACAAAATGTGGCCATCCTTGAATCAGGTACAAAAAATTATGACCCTCCCGCAAAATATATATACTAGATATTCCGATTAAAAATATATTGAAATAACTTTTTGTCGAGTAAACCATTGGCACATTTTATTCAGGGCTCGTTGTACTCCTTGAAAAGCCCTGGAAATGAATGGTTTTTATAAAGGGCATTTGAAAAGACCTTGAAAAATAGAAAAATACTGCTGGAATACTCTTCTTTTTATCGTATTACATTTATGCAAAACAATCATTTATGATAAGTGTTGTGATCCTTTGTTTGGTGTAATATCTTATGCTAATAAATACTGAATCAATTTTAACCATTTTCTGCGGAGGCAGCGATCTTAGTCCAGAATACCCCCATTTTACTTTATAACTCATAATTTTTTTTCCTTTTTCCCGCATGTTGTAGCTGTTCTGCCGGAAATTTTTGTACAAAACAGTTTACTTGTGCTCTCTTAAATTTCCTGCACAGCCCGAAGGGCCGAAAAAAATTCCTGCAAGGCAAAATTTGAAAAAAAATCCACTAAAGCTTTTTGATAAGAGTTTTAAAGATAAACACAAGAATCATTATTTTATTTATTTTTCTCCAGTCCAAAATTTGTGACCCTCCCCTAAAGCTCATTTGAAAACATTCAACCCTCCCCAAACACACATCCNAGTATTGTTTATCAAAGAATATTTTAAAGTACTTTTTAAGAACTCTCTGAAGATGCAGAAAGGAAAATTGAAATGATGAACTGTGGTTGAGGCTGAAAGTCATTCAGATCTGGCATTTTCAGTAAACATTATGCAGAATAAAGTAGTCCAGCGTTGACCAAAACTTGTTTACTACTGTTGGAATGCTAACAGTATTAAATCAACATCGAATCAACAAACAAGTATCCATCCAAAACAATCAAAGTTCAATTGATTCTTTACATATACCACATAATATATCGAGAAAAGAGAAAAATAGCTCACATAAAAAGACATTAAATCCTATTAGTACTTCGTTACTCCCTAATAAGTGTATAAACTCAATTTATGGTTTGGACATCAATAGAAATGTTTACACAATTTGATGTGTGACTGACGTTTTGACGGCCATGGCTCTGTCAAACACTCATATAAAAGAACGCCTTAACAATCATTAGTGGGCATAAAACTTGACACAAACAAGAAAGACCCTCGAGCAATACTGACTCTCAGAAGGTAATCAGTGAACTCTTTTTCTATGTTACAGTGTACACTTCGGTATGCTGACACTAAATGTCTATTTTTCGCGCCATCTGAACACTTCTTTTTTTTACACTTCTTTTTTTTTTACGATACACCCTGTAGTCAAGGTATTTAAGAAAACGTTTACCGTTTACTAGTTTTGCAGAGATTCAGAATGTAACACTGGTTTCTCCTATAATAGATCCTCCATGATGCTGCCAAATTAAGACCAAAGAAGAGTGGCTGATAATTGCCCTAGTTCATTATGACGTCAAATCAAAACATTCTATTGTTTTAACGCTAAGGATTATGGTCGCCAGAAGAGATCAGAGTGACTGCAATTCGATGTAAACATACTGCGACGTCATAATGAAATAGGGCAATTTATAATTCGAAGTCTACACAGACTGATTTTAAAGAAAGCTTGTTTCCATCATTGTATATTTTTCTTTTTACTCTTGTCTTTATTGGTATTCTATATCTGATAAGTAGTTGGAGTTAGTTGTAAATGTCACTTTATAATAAAATTACACTTACCACCATGGTCTATTGTAAATATGCACACGACCGCGTCCAGAATGTTATTTGTTATTTGAATTAGCCAATCATGTGGCTTGAAATTATAGGGTGTCCCAGAGCCTACGACAGGCCGCTAGAGGCTGACAGAGTAGGGTCTGGGTACGAGAATGCTTAAAAAGGTAGAATAGAAATAAGCTCTGAAACTCTAAGAACACTTAAAAAGTTGGAGAGCCGATTTGAGGTGCAGCCACCCGAGGCACATTACATAATTAATCAAACTAGACCCTGTATGCAGGGTTAACTCGTCCCCTACATGGTTTTGGTTTATTGACGCTGAATTATTTTGTGATATTCATTTGGCTCACGGTCTACGTCATAAGACTGGACATATTTTAAAGAAAACACGGTGTGCATGCTTTTATTTTAACTTAAAATGGTTTGACAACGTACGGAATTGGAAAAGCAAATTGAAAAAGGTGGATGAATATTGATTGGCCTAGSTATAGGAATTAAATTATTGATTCGTTGAACTCAAAATTTTGTTAATATTACAACAATTTTACACGCTGTTATTTTGTAGTAGGTTTTTATTTTAAATGTGATTGAGAATAACAAAAGATAAATTTTCTGAAATCACAATAAGAACTATATATGTAAAGAATTTTCTTTCTGCAGTATAAACTTATAATAGATCTATGAAAATGAGATCATAATTTCTCCTCTTGCTGAATAGTTTGTATAGATGCATATATTGCTGATCAAATGATAATTTTTGCAAAAGTGTGTATAATGTAGTAGAGATTTAAACAGTAACAAATAATTAATKAACTCAACTGGGAACTATAGGCATAATTTGTAATTCTATTCTTGTATGTATTAATAACCTGTTGTTCTGAGATCTTTTCAACAATTAAAATGAAGATTAATGATGAGTAATCTAGATGGCCAATGTTAATTGTGGACATTGCAGTGATATTTTCTTTTTGTATTGGCGTGACAACAGTTAATGGTGCAAAGCCTGGATGTGATTCTGTTATGTTAATGGTAACATTTACTGCATCAGCAACTGCTTGGACAATAAGTGCATCAGCCCACCTTGAAGATCGAGACATATATTATGCAAATATCTAAGCCAAGAACTTTGAGTGTTACTTTCAATATAGTACGGCTGTTATTGTCAGAATTGTTCAAATTAATGATAAAAGTATGAAACTTGGCAGGATTATTAAGTTCGCCGACCTGAACAATTCTGGATAAGGAGCCACCTCGAAATCACACTTGATGGGGAATACTGAGCATGCTCTAACATCAAAACGAGGCTCAGGATATAAAACCCGCTTAAACATCTCAACTCACGTATTTTCCCAAGRAATACATGAARCTAGAAGTAATTAAGATATTTTATTGATACTTGTCTCAAAAAGTAAGTCACGTGATCTATAAGGGGAGTATTTTATCCAATTTATGGGATCCCTGTGGCAAAAAACTGATTTTTTTTCTCCTCGTTTTATTTGAAACTACAAATCCACAAATCTTTCTAACTTTTTACTTGAATTACGTCTTAGAATGTTTTTATAATATGTTTATTATGTGTTTTGATTTAATAGCGAGATGTACTGCAATCCAATCATCGAACTTGGATGTTTAATCATTATCATAAAATATTGAATTTATCGGCGCGAGAAAAATTATTTTCATGCCTTGTAACTCCACTTTTGACTGACTTCTAGTTAGGAAAAGCTCCCAAGATTTGATCTTTTAATCTTGGTTTGTTGACATTCCCATCAGTATTTCCAAGCTCCTGTTGCTTTTTGCGGTGAAAGCTTTTAAGCTTAAAAGTACATCGAGATTTTCGTTTCAAGAAAATCATCAATATGAGCAAGCTCAGCAARCGCAAGCTCATCTGCATCTGTTGTTGGTATCTGTGACTCATTACATTTGGATGTGGACAGTTTAAGCTTTCTTGCTCTATTTTACACCCTAACTAAGTACTTGACATGGTATTTAGCTTCTATTGCAATCAAGTCACCTGCAGACTGCCTTCTTTCCTTCGCTAGCTCGAGGTCGCTGAAAAAGTCTCTGCAAGACTTAATAATAGATAATAATAATAATCTAAGCTTATATAGCAATTATAAATTTATATATAGCTTTTTCTAAGCGCAAAAATTAGGTAAAATAAAAATACAAAGTTATAGTAGAATTACAGATCATAACTTTGTTTAAATAGTAAGTTTTAAGAGCAGTTTTAAAGTTATCAAGTGAAGAAATGTATCTGACTGAAGAAGGGAGTTGTGGGCATCTTTCTGTCTCAAGAGACAATGGAAAATGCGCCTGGTAGTTAGTCCGTGGTTGGGTGACAGCGCCTGCTGTGGCTAAACAGTCCGATGCGGGAGGGCAGCTCTTGTTATAGTTGCTGCAAGTGAAATCAGCGCCAGCTTCTATCGGTACTGCCTCTGGTGCTGCCTTCTCGTCTGCGTTCTCTCTTCTCCTTCCACTGGTCTCTCGCTTTCTCTCACTNGTCTTTTTGCATACAAAAATGTTGTCATAGAGAAAAAGAGCATTTCCATTTGATACAATAAAAAAAATAATCCGGATAAGGGGGTGTCCAATGTTATTTAACACGTTTCAAGAGACACATCCCAAGGGGTCTAGAGTTCACCATACCGTCTATAACAGAATCACCAAATCATACAAGCGAGTACCTTACAGATATATGAACGAACAGGAACAAGCATAATATCCAAAAGTTGCTTTATTCGGTGTTGTGCGATCCTATATTTACTTACATTGTGTAATGACTGGCAAGTGTCACGTTTAGAGCTACTTGCGTTAGAAGTTTTCAAATTAAAATTCAGGTTATTTGTATAGCCAATAGTTATCACGGTGCGTTAGTAAATGCATTACATGTTCAAGCGATGGTAACAACTGTAAGTTTACTTTGTGCAAACTGCGCATGCCAGTTCCCTACCATAAGGGTAAGGGCATGGAGAATGGGTACAATGAAACATTGCCTGAACAAAGTACAGAAGGGCACCATTCTCGTTTTTGTTCTTTCCAGGAACGAACTCAGGGTTTTTGTCAACACAAACAAAGCTGCTTGARCGAGGATGAGTATGATGCTCTGACATGATGTAACCAAAGTACTCTCGTCTCCAGCCCCCTGGACACTGGTAGGATGCAGGGATCATGAACTTGGCCGTGCGATTCGGGACATAGCAGGCAGCGCAAGGTGCATCTTGGTCTTGGAGGTTTTTACCAAACAGTAAATTACCAAAGTGGTGAGTTTCGTACTCCGTGCGGTAGATAGTCGTAGCCTGGCCTTGATAGCCTTCTTGGTATTTCAGCCACTTGGGATTTTCTGGCAGACAAAGGTATTGTACTCCACCTCCTTTGTGAGTGTAGTGTGTTCCCGCCATACGACCTGAAGAAATGGATGTAGGCAAAGTAACGCAATATAATGTAACAAGTTTTTACTACACTTGCGTGAATTATCATGCTCTGATTGGCTAATGTTCAAACTTAAAATGCTGTAGAAACAAATTGCACACGGTTTATCCGTTGTATGTCCATCTTATTGACAGAATCTTGAAGTCAAAATGTTCAAAACTTTGCAATGAACTTGAGTCATTTATGACTATTTCTGTCGTGTGTAGCTTATTTACCTTTGTAAAGACGTTGTGAGCCTCTTGGACAAACCGTTCTTCCCCATCGAAAGTATTGCACTCCTCCACCTTTGGGTCCAGGGGGACCTCGTGCCCCGTTTTGGCCAGGAGATCCAATGGGGCCCTTAGGGCCTGAATGCGAAAAGGGTTCACTTAAGTTTTGAAATTGTATGTAACATTCAAGAGTGTGTAGAAAAGGAATATGTAAATGCAAAATAGTTCGATACATAGTAGAATAACATTTAATTCATGGTGATCATTATTGATATCATCATTACCTTGTCTGCCCGGATTACCATCTTTTCCATCCTTACCATCCTTACCAGGCCTTCCCGGCTGTCCATCACGACCATCTCGACCTGTTATGAGTAACAATTGGAAAGCGCAGCCTTAGCAACACACACCAAAAACGAACGTAGCGTTTAAAGGAAACAAGAGAAGAGAAGAGAAGAGAAGAGAA